TAGGCATTCAAGTTGAGGTACAAAATGAAGTTATGTAATATATATATATATGCATTAGAAACACAGAAAATAAAGTGATTGCATTATTATATCATAAAGTCCAAAAGTGAATGTTACATTCCGTTGACTAGTAAACATTGAGTCTTGAGTGAACATTGATCAAAATGTCTAGGTCCAGATAAAGGCATGGTTGGTGTGGAAGTTGCAATTGCATAAAGGCATAGTCTCAGATAATGGGATTGTGTAAAGTAGTAGAACAATGAAAAAAAATAAAAGACCATTAGGGACCAGAAAAAAGGGAAAGCTTCTGGGAGAAAGGAAAACATTCACTGAAGCTTTGAAAACAGAGAAGGGGAAAATAAAGCCAGAAGACACCCTAGGCATGGAAAGAGGCAAGGAACATCCTTCCGAATGAGTTGACTAAATAATGGGCAGGATGTATAGGCGGTAAGTTATGAAGGATCAGATTGGAAAGATGCTTCAATGGTTAGTTTGGTGCTCCGAATATAGAACTCAAAACATGATTGATGAGTACATGAATGAGCAGAATGAAAAAAAAGAGCAGACTATACTTGAGAGAGTCTTTAAGATTCTTGAGCAAGTTAGTGACAAATGTTTTTCTTGGTCTAAAAAAAATGTTTCGCAGAAAGGTCATTTTATATTAATGAACCAAGGACCTGATGTTACAGGGTAGTCATACTATGATTCCATCACCTCTTGGATAGAACCTTTTACTTACCAAGCAGAATGTCAACCTCCAACCTCAGTGATGACAGTCTTCCAGCCATCATGTTCCTGACAGGAATCCCAGGGCTGGAGTGGGCTCACATCTGGATTGCCATCCCCTTCTGTGCCATGTATCTGGTAGCACTGGCTGGGAATGCTGCCCTCATCCTGGTCATTGTGACAGACAGTGCTCTTCATGCACCCATGTACCTCTTCCTGTGTCTTCTCTCATTCACTGACCTGGCTCTCAGCTCAACCACCGTGCCCAAAATGCTAGCCATTTTGTGGCTCCATGCTGGAGAAATTTCCTTTGGTGGATGCCTGGCCCAGATGTTTTGTGTCCATTCTATCTATGCTCTGGAGTCCTCAGTTCTTCTGGCCATGGCCTTTGATCGCTATGTGGCTATCTGCAACCCACTGAGATACACAACCATTCTTAACCATACTGTAATAGGCAAAATTGGCCTTGTTGGCCTCTTCCGCAGTGTGGCCATTGTCTCCCCATTTATCTTCTTGCTGAGGCGACTGCCTTACTGTGGTCACAATGTCATGGCACATACATACTGTGAGCACATGGGCATCGCTCGCCTGGCCTGTGGCAACATCACTGTCAATATTGTCTATGGGCTGACTGTGGCCCTGCTGGCCATGGGTCTGGATTCCATCCTCATTGCCATTTCCTATGGCTTTATCCTCCACGCTGTCTTCCGCCTTCCATCTCAAGATGCCAGGCACAAGGCTCTGAGTACCTGTGGCTCCCACCTCGGGGTCATCCTGGTCTTCTATATTCCTGCCTTCTTCTCCTTCCTCACCCATCGTTTTGGCCAGCACCGAGTTCCCAAGAATGTGCACATCTTTCTGGCGAACCTCTATGTGCTGGTGCCTCCTGTGCTCAATCCAATCATCTATGGAGCTAGGACCAAGGAGATTCAGAGTCGACTGCTGAGATTCCTTCACTTGGGGAAAATTTTAATGTGAAACTTGAGCACAGATTGATTATAAGGAAAATGAATGGGTATGGTCGCTGTCATGATGCATTGACACGAATGGAGACCTCTGGTATTACAGAAATGTGTTTACAGGCAGGGAAGCACTTGAAGGAAAATGAAGATCAGATGAATCAAAGGTATCAAAAATCACACTGAACATACCATATTCCTGAGGCTCCTGGAATAATTCTGAAGAGCCCAGAGAGATGATAATATTTTTACTCTTGGGAATATTTTGCCATTAGGAGTAAGCAGGTGTTGGAGAAACTCTGAGTAGGTATGATAGTGCCAGTGTAGAATGCGCTTAATGTTTTTTTCTTTCATTGCAAATATTTCTATGACTTACTAAAGATCAAGTCAATTCCACATATGAAATGAGTCTGGGCTTCATAGTGAGAATATTCTCTGTTAGTCCAAGTTAAAAAAAATAGGTAAATTTAATCTGATTTCCAATTCTTTGGATAGTGATGAAGAACACAAAGTCTAAAGTTAGAGTACCTGGGTTTGAACGCTTGTTCCTCTGCTTTTTAGTTTTATAGCCTTGATCATGGTACTCAATCTTCCTATGTCTTGGTTTGTCTAATTATCAAATGGATAATATTAATCTCTCTCTCTCTCTTTAAATATCTAATTCTTAATACTGTGGCAATGAATAAATAAGTTAATGAATGTAGAGAACTTAAGGTAGTAGCTAACATGAAAATGATCAACAGATATGAGAATGTCGGGTGCCTGGATGGCTCAGTTTGTTAAACGTCAACCTTCGGCTCAGGTCATGATCCCAGAGTCCTGGGATCGGGTCCCACATCAGGCTTGCTGCTCTGAGGGGAGCATGCTTCTCCCTCTCCCTCTCCCTCTGTCACTCCCCCTGCTTGTACTTGTGCTCTTTCTGTCAAATAAATAAATAAAATCTTAAAAAAAATATATGAAAATGAAAATGTTATATAAACTCTGAAACTTATTATCCAACTCATAACTTTTAGGACTGTTTTCCCTGGTATCATTTCACAGGGTTGTTATGAAAACTATATAATACAGCATCTCTAAAATATTTAGATAGTGCTTGGGATATGAATGGTGCTTGTTGAAACTATGTTTTCTCCTCTTTCTCCTCTGGTCTTCAATTTTGAAATCCCTTTCCTTTTAGCCATAAAATTACCCCTCATTAAGGATTCAGGGAGGCCTGCTCAAAATCCAAAAGCCTTTTTAAATAATCCTCCTTTGCCCTTGTAACCTCAGCTCTAAAATACACAAATAAGTCCCCAGTTGCTGCTCCCAATGATTCAAAATGTAGCTATAATCTCCATTTTAAATTAAGAGCCTGTGACTCAGAGAGACTAATAGTCTTAAGGTTATGCAACTATATAGACTGTATCTCATGAATTATCCAGTATGAGATATGTGTGGGGATGCCCAACCTGCACAAACAAACAGCAGCAAAAGTGAAGTCCCTTTGTCTGTTGAGGTCATAAATGGTAAAGAGACTCAGTAGTGTAATGATTTCAGGAACATAGAAAAATATATAAAAAGAGCTGAGGGTGAGAATGGGTAAGGGAACCTGTTCTGCTCCTGAAATGCAGCAAAAGTCTTTGTGGGCCTTATGCTTACTCCCCTAAGATGCTGGTTAAATTTGATCCAGGCCAACTGCTTACCAGGACAACTGCTTACCATTCACACTACTAATTACCTGCCATGAACCTCACATCTTTCCTGAAATAAAGTGGGGGTCAGTAACCTAGGAAGTTGGCATCAAGGGAAGGGCCAGGATTTAGGACTCTGGACTCCCATGGTAATATTTAAAATGCACCCAGGGGCACCTGGGTGACTCAGTTGGTTTGGTGGCTTGTTTCTGCCCACATTATGATTCCAGGCTCCTGAACTGAGCCCCACGTCAGGCTCCCTGCTCAGTGGGGAGTCTGCTTCTCCCTCTGCCCCTCCTCCTGTTCATGCGTGCCCCCCCACTCTCTCTCTGTCTCTCTCAAATAAATAAATAAAATCTTTTTTTAAAGAAATAAAAAATAATGCACCCAGCTGTGGACTAGATTTGCAGGACCATACAGTGCTAAGGGATTTGATGTACTGGTAAGGAAATACAGGTGCATGAGTGGGCAAATGATGTACCCGATATTAGGCCACAAGTCCAGTGGTTTGCAGCCTTGTGCTCCCTCATCTCAGGCACAAAGTCATCAATCATCCATCATACCCTGGGTGGCTCAGCAGTTAAGTATTTGCCATTGGGTCAGGGCATGATCCCAGAGTCCCACATTGGGCTCCGTGCGTGGACCCTGCTTCTCCCTCTGCCTATGTTTCTGCCTCTCTCTGTGTGTCTCTCATGAATAAATAAATAAAATCTTTAAAAAATAACTCTTGGGCTATCCTCCTCTTCTAGCTATATGTGTGGCCTGAGAGGAGCTCTGAGGAGAAAGGTCAAAGGGGATAGATTGGAGACTAGAAGAGAAGGAGGGGTGCAGGATCGCACAGCTGCTAACACCTTGGTGCAGGAGTCTAGCTGCCACCTATGCTCTGGATTGATACTCTATGGATACAGCACAGGGTGGTTCCTTCCCATGGCTTCCCTTTACTGACCAAAATCCAAGTTTCACATACCATAGATAACAGATGAAGGATTCTGCATCTCTGGCAGCAAGCTCCACTCCCTAAAGTTCTGGTTTTGGCTCTTTTTATCATCCTGACACTAAAATGCAGTAGTTCCTAGAAGGAGAGGGTGATGTGTAGAAGTCAGTAAGGCTTCTAGAAGACTGGAGGTAGCAGGGTTCAGTCCCCAGGAAGACTATTAACATTATTGCCAAGATTTCCCACCTCACTCAGGTGTCTGGCTACTGGAGCCCACATGATAGAGGAAGCATACTTCTAGGATCCTGGGATACTGCCCTGCCCATCATGCCCACTTCACCCCCAGACTCTCATTCTTCCCTGGGACCCAATGTGCATCACTGATCTCAGAAATTCAGACCAAAATCCGGGTACCATGGGGAAATGAAGAGTAAACTGTGTATCAGGATCATTGTTGGGACATGTAGTCCCAAAGATATTTTATCCATAGTCCCTGACTGCCATAACCTTCATTTCTAGGTTCATGCAGTGTCACAAAACAACTGAGTCACAGTGTATAGCTCAGAGATGTTATCCTCCCCAGCCACCAGAAGCATGAGATTTATTTGTTTTTCAAGCTAGGGTCAGTTGACACCTGGATCTGGCTCTGAATCTGCATTCCTTGATTTCCCCCCAAATAACACTTCCAATATGGTCCGTGCCTCTCTTTCATCAGGTGGTATCCTGTTGCATGGTTTCATACAGCCCCTGGTGCTCTGGGTCACACTTCATGTGCCTACACTGTGAATCACCTCTCTGACAGGAGAGTTTACAGAAGAGAATGGGTGGATTAGGAAAGTATTGGGGACTTTCGTTAAGACACAGGGACTCCAGAACTTAGAGTAGGAATGGGGCCCAGGAAAGATGCTGAGCTCTATCTAGCCATGCTGAGCCAGAGTTTCCTCTGTGACACCCAAGAAAAGGCTGGTAGGCTATGGAAAGTACAAATAGACTTAGAGATGAAAGAACCATGAACACAGAAGTAAGAGCCACAGCCATGGACATGATCAAACTCTCTGAAAGATGAATAAAGAATCCATGTAGCATACTCTCGGGAAATATCACTCTATAAAAAATGGATGAGAAAATAGATTCAATAAAGCAGCTTATAGAAAGATGGGTCAGTATATCTTCTGTACAAAAGAAAAAAATGGGAAGATGAGTAATGAGAGAATTTTGAGAAACTTCCATACCATCCTGGGAGTGACTGCAGAGGATGGGGAGATGTAGCCAACTTTGGAGGAATTCAGAGAAAATTCTTTTCTCTTTGGAGAAAAGAGAGAGAAGTTGGATGGCTGGCGGGACAGTAGAGTCAACCATTTTACAATGTAAAGGCAAGAAGTCTACCCAGGAGGAGAGGATGGGGCTTCAGAAGTGGTCAGAGTTCACTTCACAAAGCAAGATCCTGCCAGGCCGGTAGGAGAGAAAGAGCCTGAGATGAGAGGGAAGTTGGACAGACTTTCCATAATATGGAGAGACTGGACCTGAAGATGGAGACATTTGGTGAAAGAGAGAGTGGCTTCCTGGGGGAAAAAAAGCCAGAATTCCTTCAGAGTAATTCTGAAGTTGGAGCAGAGGTGGCTTGTGATGATAAGGGCAATGTTGGTGAGGACCTAGGTTGCTGAAAACACTCAGGACTACCCCAAACTCATGTTCAAATTTGGAAAACACTGAGATTAAGGGTATGAGAATAGGTGCAGCCTGGATCCAAGACCCTATAACATTATCAATATCTCCCCAAAACAACATTCTTTTTGCCCACATACCCCCAAATTGGACATCACACGTGAGATCCAAGCAATCTTTTTAATGAGGAACAGGCTTGGGCAGTGAGTGAGGAGGGCTGTTCAAGTGTGCACATGATCTGAGTAAGAGGAGTTCAAAATACGCTATTTCCCCTCCCCTCCCCTTCCCCTTTCCCTTCCTTTCCCTCCCTCTCCATGAGGTGGTACACTGTAGGCATCAGTTGGTGGGACCTGGGCCTCTGGTAGCCCCAGTAGCCTCTCAATGGCAACCTGAATGTCTCCTCCCACGGCCATGAGGGTCTGTAGATTGGCATCATGGTTAGCAAAACCCATGGCCTTCAGATGCTCCAGTTCTTGCTGGAAGCAGCCTTCAGGGAGGGAGAATGAGGATAGTGAGGATTGTGTGGACTGAGAACTGGCATTGGCTAGTGCATGGAGAAGCTGAAGAACAGCCCAGGTGGACTGCACAGAGCCTGCTCTCTGACCCTGCCCTCCACCCCTAGTCTCAGGCGGTTCTCTAGTTCCCCTACCTGGGCCCCACAAACAAGGTCCCAGCCCAGGCACCTCCTTGGACAGTATCTGCAGGCCCTTTTCTATCTGTATCAAGGCCTGCAGCGCTCGAGGGTTGGTCAGGATGGGAAGTAGTGGCAGATAGTGTTGTAGGGGGCTTCCACTTGCCAACTGGTGTAGCAGAGCTGGATTCTGCTGTAGGACATGCAAGGCTTTACGCAAGGCAGAGGGCGAGGGTCTCAGCTGACTGGTTAAAGTGGCTTTCCCTATGGGCTGCTGGCTCTCCTGAGAGAGAAGATTGTGGCCTGAGTTTATATCTGGCATTCTAGGCCCACATCCTGAATGGGTCTGATTTGAGGCCATGCTCCTGGCCTGGGTAGCTTGTCCTGCCCTGACCTTCTGGGTCAATGGCCTGGCAGGTGCTGAGGCTGTGGGGATGGTGGTGGTAGTGTCAGTACTGCTGTGAGCATTGGCCTCCTCTTTGCAAAGCTCTGAAGCTGGGTTTTGGCCTTTGGAGGCAACCAGGGGGGCCAGAGTGAAGAGCATGAACTGCTGGATATCAGAGCAGACTGGACGCATAGCATTGTCACCACCTGGCACTGCCGTCAATGCCTCTAGATCCTGTTTATTTGCCTGCAGGAGCTCTTGTTGCCGGGCTGGGTTCTGCAAGGTTTCCAGAGCCTTAAGAGTTGGCTCAGGTTTCTGAGGATTCTGCCTTGAGGATTCGGGAGCTTGTCTGGCCTTGGCTGGTTTCTCATTGACCAGGCCTTGAATCACAGGGTTTTCCAAGAACTGCACCACTGACTCAGGTGCAGCCGTTAGGAGTTGAGCCAGCTGGCCAAGAAAGTCAGTCAGCTCAGGTGAGCTCTGGGCCAGCCGGCCCAGCCTGGCCAGCATCCCAGCGCTCTCCGAGGTGGAGGGTTCAGAGTGATGCATGCAGTGGTCAGTAGGGCCTGGAAGAGTTCCAGGACCAGGCAGAGTTCCTTTCAGACGGGTTCTCACCACTAAGTTGACCGTAGTGCCATCAAAGATGCCGCGCTGGCTCAGTATGTCTTGGTCTCGGAGGATCTTTCCAGTGAAGATGAGCACCAATCGGTCAGTGTCATGGTGAAGGCGTTTGGAGATCTGTTTCTTAAAGTGGTGGACACTGCTATTTTCTGCCAGCATAAATTCTTGGCAGTCCTGTGGGGTCTTGACTGACACTCTGATGATGCGTGATGTCGGCTCCCTACCAGACACCAGCTGGCTGTCCCTTGCTTCTTCCCTAGCCCGAGCCATATTATCTCAAGAGCAGGATGCAGGAGACCCTGAGGACCTGTAGAAGCCCAGGTATGGCACTAAGCAGACCTGGATGCAGGGACCAGTAGGTGTTTAGGGATGTCCACTCACCCACGACCTCTGGACACCTCTTCCTAATGTAGCCTTGAGGTCACCTGGCTCCCATAGGGGTGTCCGCTATCCTTCACCAGGGCCAGCCTTAGGGGATATGTCAGTGATGTCAGTGATGAGGTCACAGTTGAGAAGGAGACTTGAATGGGGGAAGGGCAGAGGTCTCTTCTACCTGTCTGAGGTTGGCTCTCTTTACAATTTAACTTAAATAGCAATAGAAAAAAATTAAATGTTTCTGTCTAGAAAGCCTGTTTTGCACCAGGCTATTTCACTGTTGAAAATCATACCACCTGAGATTGGCAAGCAAATATAGCTAAGTAGAAAAGGTAAGAACTGGCTTAGGAAGTGCTGATTCTAGTCACCTATCTTTCACTTAATTACTCTATATGGATCATGGCCCAGTCAAGGCCACAAGTTCCCTTGTTTCTATATGAACAGAATGAAGATACATATAATTAGTCCATTCAGCCTCAGCAGGGCTTGAGGGCAGCTTGCATCTCTGAGGCCCACCAGACTGACTAACTTATTGACATGGTTCTAAGAAAAATAGCATCATGTTCCCCAAGAACTTGTGAACTCAGTTGTACTCAGACATAAACCATCATCTCAACCCTCTAGGATTAGAGCTGAGACAAAAGAAAGGATAAGAAAGTAATAAGTTTACTCTAGGTCTTTATGACTTAACAATGATTAATTTTTAAAAGATCTTATTTATTTGATAGAGAGAGGCAGAGAGAGAGAGCACGAACACAAGCAGGGGGAGCTGCAGAGGGAGCACTGCAGAGAGAGAGCCCACTGAGCAGGGATCCTGATGTGGGACGGGATCCTAGGACTCATGACCTGAACCTGAGGCAGATACTTAACTGACTAAGCCACCCAGGCGTCCCAACAATGATTAGATTTAATGCAATTTGAAGAGGAAAATTGTTACTTGGGAGCTGACATATTTCAGCTGCAAAAGCAGAAAATGATGATCCTCTGAGCTATTTTTTTTTAAGATTTTGTTTATTCGAGAGAAAGAGAGAAGAGAAGCAGAGACACAGGCAGAGGGAGAAGCAGGCTCCATGCAGGGAGCCCGATGTGGGACTTGATCCCGGGTCTCCAGGACCACGCCCTGGGCCAAAGGCAGGCGCTAAACTGCTGAGCCATCCAGGGATCCCTGAGGTATTGTTTTGATTACTCCAAGCAGGTGGGACCCCAGGTAAAGTCTGTCAAATCTGCAACAATTGTGTTTTTTACTGTGAAGATGGATACAATAGGCTGCTAGGCTTTGCCATTATATAATTGACCCTTTTTCTGATTCTGGAATTTCCAAGGCCTACAACACGAGCACTTGGCTGCCTATAATACCACCTTCAAAAGGTTCTGCTGGATTTGGTAAACATGAACATCTAGAACCATCTACAACTACGATGTTTATGGGATACCGATATATGTTCTTAAACTTGAACTAGTTTGAATGAGTATCTCCTGTATCCCACCAATATCAAGACTCTAATAAGTTGTAATTCCTGAGTTTAAAAGACCTTCTCAGTCTGAGGCAACCTCATAAAGCAAGCCTTGTGGCTGGCTGGCAGCAAGCAAACTGAGCAGTCTGGCATCAAGCAAGTGCACTTTTCTTGGGAATGCCCAGACCTCAGAACAACTCCTACCACACAAATATTATTAGCAAAATCAATTCCTTTGCAGATTTTTTTTTTGGATTTCACCTAGCATAACTAGATCTTCAAACTAACATTCCTGGATTTCCATTAGCTAATAATTAGTATGTAACAGGTGTTGAACATTCTGGATGACATTGTCTAGAATTGCTTTCTCATACTTTATGCTCCCAGGGATTTCCTCTTTTCTATGCATGGCCTGTTGGATGAAGCATCCCTTCTCTCCTCTCTTTCAGGCCCTATTATCATGACCCAGAATATCTCCTTCCCAAGCACCCACTGATGGCCCTGACAGTCTATTTACGCACTCTGTCTCAGTGAGGGAGCCCTGCCCACACTGTCCACTGAGTTCTTCAACACACGAATCGCCCTTCATCCTTCCTGAGAAGCTGACATTATTGGGATATCTTACACTGTAGCTATATTTCTTTTATAATTAGAAAATTAAAGTATCAACTTTTTATTTGATCAATTTAAAACTTAAATTGAACATAGAACTCTCTAGAGGAAAATAACCCTGGTTTAAATCCCACTCCTACCACTTAATAATCTTCAACAAGTCATTCACCCTTTTGAAGCCTGGCTTTCATCATCTATAAAATGGTATTTTTTTCACAGATTTGTTTTGAAGATTTGAGGAGATAATCCACATAAAGTACAATCCAAAGTATCTGACACAGAGCAGATACTTGTCAAATACTGAGTATGAAGTCAATACTACAGTCACTATCGATCTTCAGCATATCCTGCGGTCACATCCGTTAACTAGATTCGAGACAGGGAGAACAGACCTACCTGTCAGGGCTGACCAAATGCCCAGAGATATGTTCAGCTGCAGATGATGAACACAGCTCCAAGCAGACTGACTGGTGAGGAAAGTGCGGTATCTTCTGTTAGACCCAGGACTCTAATCCTGGACTGAAATGCTGACTTTATGCACCGTATTTAAGGTTTATTATATTAAGATGTAATTTCCAGAAAACATATTTCGTTCCCATATTCTTCACAGAGATTGGCTAAGGTTATCCTATTCTGCTAAGAGTTTTATTAGATCAAACTATATAAAAATCTCAGTATTTTTTAAAGATTTATTTATTTGACACACACACACACACAGAGTGTGTACAAAAGGCAGAGCAGCAGAGATAGAATGAGAGGGAGAAGGAGACTCTCCATGGAGTATTGATCCAGACATGGGACTCAATCTCCGGACCCTAAAATTATGACCGAAGGCAGACTCTTGACTTACTGAGCCACCTAGGTGCCCATGAAAGCTATTTTATGCAGTTTTAGTGTTTCTTGTCAGTAATTTGTTTCAGAAATATCTAATGAGAGTTTCTTTTTAACAAAAACTATCACCTGGGAGAAGATGGCTCCTGGTGGCCAGGCTAACTGAACATGAAGTGCTATAAGTAGTCCCATTGAAAGAGAAATGCCTGATTCTGTCCTACTACTGAGCTTCCTGTAACCCACTGAGTAGGTTTGAGCCAAGTCTGGTTTATGATAATCTTATAAATTTGTTGAATTAAACCTAAAAAGATCCTCTAATGGAAGTAGCAAAGACTACCTCCATATTACTTTGGCAATAAAATCCAAACTCCTTGTCTAGCCACAAAGCCTCTCCTGCATGGACTCCTGCTCATCTCAACTACCTGATGATGATTTCCTCCTTTTCTATAAAACTTAGCCACATTTGCCTCCCTTTTATATCTGAAACAAGCCAAGTGCCTTCCTATACTTAGAGCCATTGCAATTGCTAATCCCTAAAGCTTTAATGCTTATTCACTTAATTTTTACAAGGCTTGTCCTTCTTACCTTTCAAATCATCTCTTCACCAAGCCTTTCCCAACCATTCCAAATCTTATCAGTAGATTTTAATTATTTGCATAAAATGCATTATGTCATCATTTCCTCTTTTCTATTCATTTATGTTTCCATCTCCCTTCACTAGAATTAAGCTCCATGAGAACCAGGACTTTATCTTATTTGCCTCTGTAACCCCATTGCCAGCAAATACTAAATAAAATACATATAGGAAGGAAGAAAGGGGGCAGCCTGGTGGCTAGCGGTTTAGCGCTGCCTTCCGCCCAGGGCCTGACCCTGGAGACTGGAATCCAGAACCACGTCGGGCTCCTTGCATGGAGCCTGCTTCTCCCTCTGCCTGTGTCTCTGCCTCTCTCTGTGTGTCTCTCGTGAATAAATAAATAAAATCTTTAAAAAAAAAAGGAAGGAAGGAAGAAGGTAAAGGTAGGAGGGAGGCTGGTAAGGAAGGAGAAAGGGAGATTGACTTACATGCAGATACAGACAGTGATTTACCAACATAGCAGTTTGTGATGTTTTGCTCACCTAAATAAGAGGTAAAGGATCTATACCCTAAAAACTATAGAACACTTCTGAAAGAAATTGAGGAAGACACAAAGAGATGGAAAAATATTCCATGCTCATGGATTGGAAGAATTAATATTGTGAAAATGTCAATGTTACCCAGGGCAATTTACACGTTCAATGCAATCCCTATAAAAATACCATGGACTTTCTTCAGAGACTTAGAACAAATTATTTTAAGATTTGTGTGGAATCAGAAAAGACCCTGAATAACCAGGGGAATTTTAAAAAAGAAAACCATAGCTGGGGGCATCACAATGCCAGATTTCAGGTTTTACTACAAAGCTGTGGTCATCAAGACAGTGTGGTACTGGCACAAAAACAGACACATAGATCAATGGAACAGAATAGAGAACCCAGAAGTGGACCCTCAACTTTATGGTCAACTAATATTTGACAAAGCAAGAAAGACCATCCACTGGAAAAAAGACAGTCTCTTCGATAAATGGTGCTGGGAAAATTGGACATCCACATGCAGAAGAATGAAACTAGACCACTCTCTTGCACCATACACAAAGATAAACTCAAAATGGATGAAAGATCTAAATGTGAGACAAGATTCCATCAAAACCCTAGAGGAGAACACAGGCAACACCCTTTTTGAACTTGGCCACAGTAACTTCTTGCAAGATACATCCACGAAGGCAAGAGAAACAAAAGCAAAAATCAACTATTGGGACTTCATCAAGATAAGAAGATTTGCACAGCAAAGGATACAGTCAACAAAACTAAAAGACAACCTACAGAATGGGAGAAGATATTTGCGAATGACATATCAGATAAAGGGCTAGTTTCCAAGATCTATAAAGAACTTCTTAAACTCAACACCAAAGAAACAACAAT